ATTGGTTTTTGGTCCGATCTACATAGAACGAGCTTACAATATCTTGAAGTCTTGCAGTGGTATGCTTAGGTTTGGGTAGATTTTGCAGATGGCAGGTGGTACCACTTGATCGTTGTGACGTACGCGTGGGACCCAAAGCTTGTTGTCTTGCAATACTTGCTTGACCTGCTGAAGCTCGGCGGCCAGATGTTTTCTGCCACAGATCCCTTGTGCTCTCTGTAACAAAGATTTATCCACGGTAGCTAACTGTGAAGAATGATCGTGAGATTCACCATTTAAATATCGGTTGGTATGGGTTTTTTTTCTTATACATAATGTGACCAATAGTATTATCAGGATTCCGGATGACTAAAACGTCTAGGAAAGCTAAAAAATTATTTGCTTCTAACTCCATTGTGAGTTGTATTTTGGAGTTTATGGAGTTAAGGCGGTTTAAAAATGCAGTTGCTTTGTCAGATAGTAAAATTATGAAAGTGTTGTCTACGTACCGCTTGTAGAATCTTGGATATACCGGAGCAGTAAGAAAAGCTTTCTCCTCAAAGTCCTCCATGAACGACTATAGGAAATACAGGTGAGCCCATCGCCACACCATCTTGTTTGTAGAACTCTTCCTTCCACAATAAATAGCCAGATGTGAAGCAGTGTTTAAGTAATACTGCATATTCTGCAGTCATGTTGTTATCTTCTAGCTTCCTAGTTACAACTGAGATGCAGTCTTCAATAGGTAGGCATGTGAATAGTGACTGAACACCAAAACTGACCATGGTTTCATTGTCAGCGAGATGTAGGTCTTTTATCTCACTAGCAAAATGGTGTGAATCCTTTGTGTGTGCTCCGGTATGTTCTCTCGATGGTGACAGTATTTTTGCCAAGTGCTGTACCTAAAAGTAGCATTATTAATTGATAAACCATACGGTACGTGTTTCAAATTTAGATGTACTTAAATAATAATAAAATATTAGTGAAGTTCATGTAACACTAGAATTACAATAATCACATTATAACTTTTACTTGTTTTATGATTTATAAATCCGTTAAAAATAGTTTAATTTCGACGTGAACATTCGCCTAAATATTAGAATATCACGTTTCAATCAACCACTTAATGCTATTACTTATTGTGTAATCTACATTGGTACTGTTACGAGCTTAGTGTTCATGACAATAAAAACTGCCGATTGAATTACCAAAATTAACACTTTAATTCACTTTACACCAATTAAAACTTAAAAGACACTAATAATTAATCACACTGATTCACTTTATTTCGCTCCACAGCTTCACTTGTGTCGCCGAATTCAATACTGCCCCGAGCGTGGCTTGCAGCGGCTTTAAATACACCCTTTCCCCCGAAACATCCAGAATATTCCAGTAAATACGAGCGCCGACCGACCGACCGAGGCGCAGAAAGTTCGAGTGTGGGGCTTCTAGAAAGCTTAATTCTTCTGTTCGATACTAGATGGCGCTGTTGCTGGAAAGTTCAAGATTGACATTTTCTAGGATGCCCTCCTCGCTCTGGTCCCCGACACTAGATGGCGCTAGTGCCAGGTACCAGACGTTAACTTAGGCGCGCAACAGTACTTTAAAAAAAAGTAAAAGTCCATACTAAAATTGGCAAGTATAGAGATGGTATAACGGAATCCAAAAGCCTTATACGATTTTTCATAATATGAAGATTGTCTTCTGTAAAGTGTATTGAGCATAGCACACTATTTTTGGTGGGAAACCATTAGTCCCTTCGAGAAATAGCGTCGATCCACTTTTTCTAGTCCAGTAGCTTGAAAACATCTTCCAACTCATAGGTGAAGAGTTTTGGGGATATCTTACACCTCTATGCAGTTGGATTTTTTTATAGAAAAGGATGCAAATGAGCATGCGGCTCACCTGATGTTAAGTGACTACCGCCGCCCATGATCAACCGCAACACCAGGGGAATTGCAGGTGCGTTGCCGGCCCTTTAGAAAGGAGTAGGCTCTTTTCTTGAAGGTCCCCGGGTTGTATCGGACCGGAAAAATCGCTGGTGGTAAACTATTCCACAGAGAGGTCGTACGCGGAAGAAAACTCTTTGTGAAACGTACACACGCAATAGATTTCACACTCTGGTTTTGTACTCTGATAGCCATTGTAGTCCTACTGTACCAACTGTGACGTGGGTGAGATTCGAGACCTAGGAGTCACGCTAGATAGTCGCCTTAGCTTCATACCCCACATAAACAAAACCTTAAATGCAGCCAATAAAGCAATCGGTTTTGTCATAAGATGTGGCAAGGAATTCAAGAAAAACGGAACAATCATTATCATCATAGTTTAATACAATAGCTTAGTAACAAGTAAACTAGAATACTGTAGTACAGTATGGTCACCTTATTACAATACTCAGACGATTAACCAGGCATTCAGCATATCGAATTCAGTTATCGCGTTGGACATCCTAGACACTTAGAGGCTTAAGATTTTTAAAATGCATAGCTTAGAATTAAGACGATCAGTGTTAGATATGACTTTATTATACAAACTGCTCATATCTTCAAATAAAATTCCAATAAAGGTACACACATGGCTACCTCGTCATCCAATCGGAATACAACATAAAAGTAATGTAGGAAAAAACTCGCCAGTTTTCCGTTTGACAAATACTTATAATATAAAGTCAACTGATAACACAGATCTCGATATTTTTAACGACTCCTTACATAATTGTTAAAGAAAAATTATTCTGAGTGGGTGATGCACCTCTGTTATGTATCTACACTATAATATTATAAAGAGGAAAAAGTTGTTAGTTTGAACTGAATAGGCTCGAAAACTATGAGACCGATTTGAAAAATTCTTTCACCATTGGAATCCTACATTATCCCTGATGAATGTAGGCTATAGTATATTTTCAAAAAAGTTAGGGATCCGTATGAAAACTTCGTTAATGTAACCCACGGCGTGAAAAAAATATCAAAAGAATCCTTATATCGCATACGCTGCGGAAACTATTGACAACAGAGCAAAGTGATGTACTACAATTTTATAGAAGAATATCAATATTTACAAAAAATTCCGCAATACCATGTGCCTAACTATTACAGTTATATCAAAATAACTACTTTTCATGTTAAATTATGCAATAGTACCGCCGAAAAATCCTTATATTGCATACGATTCGGAAACTATTGACAACAGAGCAAAGCGATGTACTACAGTTTTATAGAAGATATCAATATCTACAAAAAAGTCTACTATACCATAGACTATTACAGTTATGTCACAATAACTACTTTTTCCTGTTAAATTATGCAAAGCCCCCGAGCATTTGCAATAGGATGAGGCTACTTATATAAAGGAATTTAAGGAAAATTTAACTGTAGCGACCACCATCACCGGCCTATCAGCTGGTCAACTACCTCATAAACCGAGGATATTTTGCTGCCACAAAATAAAACAACATCAAATATAGTTTACAGGGAAGCTCTGAACTAATAAATTTATGTTTTGTATATATTATCTTATTACAAATAATATTGTAATAATATTTCTAATAAAAATAAAATAAACAAAATTAAAAAAGAACAAAAAATAATAACAAATAAAATCATTATCTACACCTTAATATTATGAAGAAGAACGATTTTTTGTTTGTTTGTACCGAATAAGCTCCAAAACTACTAGACCGATTTTAATAATTTTTTCACCAATAGAAAGCTAAATTATTACAAAGTAACATAGGCTGTAATTTATTTTCAAAAAAAAAATGGAGATCTTTAAGAAAATTGTAACAAAAAGTAGCAAAATTTTGCCTATAAAATTCATTATTTGGCGTGCGCTGAGAAAACTTGATAATACATAAAAATTATGTGCTACATCATCAAAGTACTCGTTATTAACTTCAAAAAAGCCCGTGTAAGGAATATATCTAACTATCATAATTAAGTCACAATAGTAGCTTTTGTGTAATAAAATTTAGTTAGATCACCGGTCGAAACAAAAGTCGGTTATAGTCGTATCGTAGTAATAATTCTCATTCAAATAAATAGTTTTATCATAATGAAAGAGTTAAGAAATATTTTGTACCTCTTTTTAAAGAGCATATTCTATTCTTTACTTTAGTCGTACATATTATGGCGGTAAAGTTGGAAATTTTAATAAACCTAAACTTAAACCGAGCAAAAAAATCGATTAAAGATAAGAAATTTTCATATTTTGTGGCAGTTTGCGCAAAAACTATAAATGATATCGCTTTCGGATGTATAAAAGGTTGATAGAAAATTCATCAAAGATCATTTCGTACCTCCACACCTTTCATGTACCGTGTACAGTTATCAGTTTTATATGTTTTAAAACTTTAAAAAACGTATTTTGGGGCGTTCATCCGGGAGGGGGAGTGAGAGTGGATAAAATTTAACTTTGCTTGTTGTTGTTTTAATTTTTTATAATTTCTGTGAACCTCGCTGTGGCGAAGTAGCGAAAGATACTGGCTTGAATAATGGTTGTATAATGTCATTCAGAACTATTTGAAAGGGAATGTCTTAAGATAGAAAAAAGACAAACGCAAAATAATTATTTAGAGACATTAATGCAAAGAATAAAATTTTTACAAGAAATTAAAAATATAAACTCTATCGATATGGTATTAGAGGTAACGCTTACGACTGGTTGGAAAGTTATTTGTATAATAGACAGCAATGTATTGAGATAGCAGCAGCTGTTGCATCCAGACAGTTTACTTTCCGGTCAAAGTATCTTGTCAACCCATGTGGAGTTCCACAGGGCAGTATCTTGGGGCCCCTGTTGTTTTTGATATTTATTAACGACTTACCAAATGCAACTCAACATAAATGTTACATGTTTGCAGACGACACTACCGTAGTAATAAAATGTAAAGAAATAGAAAAATCCAATATTATCATTAACAAGACTTTACACAACCTAATCAATTGGCTATATTCATACAATCTCAAAATAAACATACAAAAACAAAGGGAATCCAGTTTACTACTTATAGAGCAAGGTCAATGGATGTACTAGTCGATTATTGCGGTAATATTGTTGAAATTGTTAATGAAGCTAAATTTCTTGGATTTACTTTAGATAAATTCTGTGACTGGAAAGCACATATAGACAATCTATGTACAAAAATAAATAAATTTGTATATGCGCTACGACGACTCAGTAATGTATCAACCATTGAAACTGCTCTATCGGCCTACCATGGCTATGTGTCATCACTATTAAGTTACGGCATTATATTGTGGGGAGGTTCAGCAGATGTAAACCGGGCTTTCATAGCCCAAAAGAAATGTATTAGGGATATTTGCAGAGTACATTTTCTTGAAAGCTGTAAACCCCTTTTCAATAAACTGGGAATCCTACCGCTACCGTGCCTGTACATTAAACAAATGTGTATTTTTGTACGACAACATTCTCACTATTTTGTCACTAGAGAGCAAAACAAAAATAAACCTACGAGACACGGAGAAAGGATCGCGCAACCTAAAATAAGACTTCAACTATACAGACGAAGCTGTTATTGTATGGCTATTAAAATTTATAATAAGCTTCATCCAAGTTTCAAAGCTCCGCCGTTACCATTGTTTAAAAGAAAGTTACATTCCTGGCTTTTCACTATGTGCTTTTATAAATTCCAGGAATACTTAGATGACCAAGAGATTTTTAAATTTTAACTGTATTTGTAGCTTTTCTGTGTTTACTTTATTTTATGACTTGAATAATTTGACATAAAAGATTATACAATTTATAAATGATGACATGTAATGCTCTGTCTGTGAGTCATGTTTACCATTAGTTTTCTGTTTAGTATGTTAACTTATTTTTAGCTCTAAGTAGACTAAAATGTAACTACTTTTAAATTTGCATGACAATTATAAGTCAAACATGAGGACGTACCATTATGTTAACATCTGTGCACTACCATGTTTAAAGCAAATAAAAAATTTCTGATTTCTGATTTCTGATTTCTAACCAATTGATAAAACCACACAAATTTCGTATTTATAACAAAACTAGAGAAAATTTGAAGACAAAATGGTGTTTTTATTTTTTTCCTATCTTAAAAAGTGGCTGAGATAATAAAGTGCGCTTTTCCGCGCGATGTTATTGTCAAAATTCGGCCGACCGAATAAGGCCCATATAACACGGCGTATTTAAAACGCGCAGGAGACGCGCGTTTCAGGAACGCGCGTCTTCGGCGCCGTAGACGCTGATTGTTGCGTTTGCATTGATGATACAAGCGCGCGCATGAAGCGCGTATACGCGCGTTTGAAGCGATACAAACGCGCGTACAAAGGAGAGTAGGGGCGGGGGGGGGGGGCGCTCACGCCACCACTGCACCGTAGGCATTTTCAAACATGAAATTTCAAGAATTTTCTATTTTTTTTTCTTAAACTCCTAAACTGTAATATTTTTTTTAATAATATATTAGTAATCTTATTGATTAACATTACTAATATTCCTTTTAACCACTCCTGGTAAGCTTGAAACGCTTGCGTTAGGAGTGGTTCGCACATACTCCACTCGATCATTTTTTTACAAAGTGATTCCACGTAACACTTTTATTTGACATTTTAGGCTAAAAACAACAACAATACTTTAACAAAAATGCAAACTGCATGATTTCTCGATAAATCTGTTTCAATCTACTAACTCACTATTTATCATATTGAAATGAATGCTACACGAACACAATACTGGATATTTCCTTACTATAAACCTCTATAAACTTCATCGTACGGTATAACATTTATTTACAGTATCTAGGTATTTAAAAAGTACTCTGTCTGTACTTACAGCTCACAGTATGTATATTTTTTATAATAAATAATGTAAATTCACGAGTTCACAGTTCAAACACTTTGACAGCTATAATATTATATTAAATTATAGTACAGGAGGTGAAATATAATATGAAAATATCTATATATATAAAAAATATTTATAGTTTGGGATGTAATATATATTATATCTCAGTGGAAACGGTTCCATTTTGAAGTACGGTGAGCGATATTAATTTCTATCTCGAGATGTAATATAAATTACATTCAAATCATTACTCTTAGTGGAAAGTGAGCTTAAGAATTTTGGAAGTGAAAATGAAATGACAACTTTTCGATATTGTTGGATGCGTTCATAAACATTTATTTTATTCAAATATATATTGCGTTCAAATTATCAATCAAGTACGACCGGTTGTTTTTGCGTCCCCCAACAGCAAAAAATTAAAAAACTGTGGTATCTTACCCCAGCCAGTTTGGGTATTTTGGCTAGTTCTTGAATCAAATGAATCAGTCCGATTCAAGAGGTTTTTGGATCGATTCAGTGAATCGTAGCGGTGCTTCGAATCGATCTAAAAAATCGATAATTTTACTCCAAAGAATCGATTTTTCGATTAATCGATTTTAGATCGACATGCCTACTGCACCGCCCGCGCCTCAGTTGCAATAATAGTTTATTGTGTGCTGCGCGTGTATTTGGTTTAAAATGGAACACCGACCGCTTCATAATAGAAATAAACAATCGTCCCACTACATGGAATTCACTACTGCCCGAATATTCAAACAAAGTGTTAAAAAGAAATGTTTGGGATGAATTGTGCCAAATTTTTTATAACAATTTTAATGAAAACCCCAGTAAAGAAAAAAACCTGGTAGGTAAGATTTATTACATTTATTTAAAAATAATGTATTTGTTTTAGGACTACACATAATCGCCGTAAAGATAGCCACTCCATGTCGCGAGCCCACGTTTTATGGTGTTAAATCGTTAGTTGTGATAAGTTCTGGTGTAATTTTCGTTTGTTCCGCTTTCCTTCTTACGATTTTTTTTACTTATTGGAACTAACGATTTAGCACCCTAAAACGTGGGCACGCAACATGGGGTGGCTATCTTCACGGCGCACGTTGGGCCGAATCTGAAAAAAAGGAACTTATGAATTAAAAATTTGTCATCATATCTCATTAAATCTTCGTTTTTAGAAAAAATTACAATTAATAAATGTTGATTGTATTGACGGCTTCTGTCGATTGGCTGAACAAAAAATTGACGTTTCGAAAAAAAAAATCGTAAGTTCCTTTTTTCAGATTCGGCCCACCGTGCGGCGGTACATAGAACAGTAAAACAGTAGAACATGTAATTAGGTAGGTACCCTAAATTTTAGAATCTTGCCATGGTACTGCACCTTCATCGCTAATAAAATAATCAGTGTACATATTTCGTATCGTAGTTCCGCTTAATTGTCCCTGTGACCGTCTTGCACCAATCGAAATCAAACTTGCATCTTCAGGAGGATCTCCTAAACCAGCTATACTCAAAGAATTATGAAAATTATAACCGTCACGTTCACGTATGAAATTATGCAGTACACAACAGGCTTTCACAATAGCCACACTGCAGTCCACGCTAACGTTCAGTGGTGGATTAAAGATTTTAAATTTGTTGCTTAATATACCAAATGTACATTCAATGTATCGTCTGGCACGTGTCAAGTGATAATTATATATTCTTTTTTATCGTGGCAAGATTTTTCCAGCGTAAGGTCTCTGTAAATGTTGAGATAATGCAAAGCCTTTATCTCCAACAAACGTAAATGGTATTGGCACTCCATTATTAGATATTGGTCTCGCATTTGGTATATTATAATTTTCTTGCCTTATCTTTTTGGTTCATTCACTACATTCATTTATTGTTGAGTCTGCAGCATTTCCATAGCATCCAACATCTATATCGATGAATCTGTAATTTGCGTCACATATTGCAAGCAATACGATGGAAAAATATTTTTTATAATTAAAAGACTCTGATCCACTATGTTGAGGTTTTATAACTCTAATAATTTTCCCATCGATAGCCCCAAGTAGGTTGGGAAAATTTGCGTATTTCATAAATCCTTCAGCAGTTGTTAGATGTGATTCTTCGGTTGGTTCTGGCATGCAGATGTTTTTTAATTTATCCCATATTATTTTCACTGTTTCACGGACTATAATGCCTGCCGTCGTTTGTCCACACGTAAAGTCATAGTGAATATCTGAGATACAGCAACCCGTAGCTAAATACCTGAAAAAAATAACATTATTAAAACTTCTATTGTCATCGTAAATTTTACATATTTAATTAAAATAACCTACAACTACTTATTTCAAATAAATTAAAATTAACCTAATAAATAACAAAACTATTGACATTATTATTGTTTTCAGTCATTGATCTTCAAAAAAAATGGAAGAGTATTAAGGACGCTTATAAAAGAGACAAAGCGAAGAACAATAACTGCTCCAGTGGATCTGGAGCTAAGCCTAGAATACCCTACATATATTCCAATTTGCTAACTTTTTTAGACCCGCTTTACGAAATAAGATCTCCAAGTCAAAATGATGATGCAGCACTGGGGCATGACAAAGACTGTGATTTTCAAAAGCCACATTCACCAAAGAAGTCTAAAAAGACTCCAAAACATGAAGACCCACAGGACAAATTGTATGAAGCACTGACAGCAAATCTCAAACAGTCTAAAGCGAATAATATAATTTTATCTGAAAATTCCGACATACTGTTGTTAGTTTCAATAGCTAAAGATTTTTTGCCATCAAATGCAATTTAAGTTAGAGGCCAAAGCTGATATGATAAATTTAATTCGTAAATATAAAAATATGGGACAGTCATCGAGAACATTACATGAAAATAGATACCAAGGTGCATTTCAATATGAACATCAGTATGGATACCAGTCTGGATATCAGTCAGAATTTCAGCCTCAATATCCAAGTAATCAATCAGCGCCAAGAAACGAATCTGTCAGTTCACTCCAAAATTTGGATAGCAATGAATCGGTTACAAATGACTCCGATATCATATCTGACATGTATGATGATATTGAATAAATCTTTTTCTCCTATTAATAATCTAAGTGCACCTATAACATTTTACGATTGATTTAAAACTGTAACAGGTCAATAAATAAATAAATACATAATAAATAAATAAATAAATACTAGTTGTTTTCTTACCTCAATGTGATGAGCAAACGTTCTTCTGCCGATATACATGATCTCATTACTGTATTTTGACGAGTTAACTCCGGTTTTAGAATCAAAAGAAGTTCTTGGATTGACGAATATGATATTCGATAACACTTATAAAATTTCTTCCATCTTCTATGTATTACCAATTTTTTAAACGTTGTATGATAATGACCACTCAATCTTTTTCACTCGTAAATGGGTCTATCCAATAGATTCGCTTTTTTTAAAAATTTTTTTCTTTTTAAAAGAAGTACTAAAGCCAACGTAAGCAGTGTTCTCTCAACCGACGCCATTGTACAACTGAAGGAGGAGTCACTGATCTGAAAAACGCAAAATCTACGAGCGACTACAGCGCATCTGTATCGCTGTATCTGCACGTATACGCACAGTAGAGGCGCGTTTCACGATCGCCCCGTGTGCTTCAGTTAAAAGGTTGCGATCGAATCCCGTTTGAATCGCGTATACGCGCGTAATCTGCGCATCGTCTGCGCGTTTAAAATACGCCGTGTGCTATGGGCCTAAAGCGCAGTAACATCGCTCTATAAGGGAACTTACTATTTCGTTCACAATTTCGAGCGTGTCACTCACCGCTGTAATTATTATTTTTAATAAAATTGTCATAAAAGTATTGTGTCGCCCCCGATCGCTACAAAAACCACCAAATAAATGGTTTTATGGTCCCATACTAGCCAAATATCAGGAACAAAGTGGTTTCGTAGATAGTTTTATAGAGAGTTCTATTACTTCATATCTTCCCGTTGGTGTCGTAATAACAACGAAATAAACTGCTGTGGTCAACCAGCACATCAAACATGGCAACCATGCTAATATACCCCCCATGATGAGAGTTACGAAGAGACGGCCCCAGTCCCCGGTCGCCCCGCTGTTCCTAGCTACAGTGGCGATAATGGCAAAGGCGGGAAGGGGGTGCTAAGAATCTCCGGTGGAGGTTCGGTTGCCACCTAAGATTACTCGACCTGGCATCATATGACATACACACCCTAAGGATTGACCAGAAGATCCTGGAGTTGGATGAAGAAATAGACAAGTTGCACTGGGATATTGTAGGATTATCTGAGTTCCAAAGAGAGGGGTAGGACATGGTACTCCTCGAATCCGGTAACATGTCGTATCATCAGGTAGGGGCGATCATCTGTCTCAAGGAGTTGTAAAGATTGGAAGTGTGTTGACGAGGGTTGCGTACCTTATACTCAAAATCACCACACGGTATTCATTGAAGGTCATACAGGTTTACGCACCAACCTTGGCACATCCCGATGAGGAGGCGGAGGAAATGTATAATGAATAACAGTGGTAGAGCCACGCGGCAGCTTTGCTGTCGCACGTATGGGCCGGCTCAAACCGGGGTGGTACCACGACCTCACAGAATACCGGCGTGAAGTGGAAGCTCTGCTTCTGCGTTTCGTCTGGTGAGTGCAAGTGGCCGGAGACCCAAATCCCCCCCCCCATCAACATGGTAGCGGAATTAAATGATAGACTACCCCAGGAGGGTACCAGCACCCCTGGAGAATCCCTCGCTGAGCATCCACGACCATGTTTCTCCACTTCTGAGCGTGGGTGCTCAGGCTGCCCCACGTATTCTGGGGGGGGGGGGCAAAATTCCGCTCAAGACTAAAACTGCTCGGGGCAAACGGAGCAACAAGACCAAGGCGACCCCCGCCACGCTGTCCGTGAATTTCTGCAATATCAGGGGACTTCACTCTAACCTAAACGCCGTCCACTACCATCTCGAGACGGCGAGGCCGGCTCTGCTCTTTCTGACCGAGACGCAGGTGTCCTCTCCGGCTGATGTCTCGTATCTCTCCTGCCCGGGGTACAAACTGGAACACTCCTTTGTGCCTCGGGCTGGAGTTTGCGTTTACGTCAGAGAGGACATCTGTTCTCGACGCCTCGGCAGACTTGAAGGTTCGGACCTGTCCATCTGCTTTAGTCCACTCGATCCCTAAAAAAGGCGACCGCTCAGACCCGTCCAACTACCGGCCTATCGCCATCACCTCCTTGTTCTCCAAAACAATGGAGTCCATTGTAAACTGCCAGCTCATGAGGTACCTTGAGGATCACCAGCTGATTAGTGACCGCCAATACGGTTTTCGCCGTGGTAGGTCAGCTGGTGATCTTCTGGTCTACCTAACTCACAGATGGGCGGAGGCAGTAGAGTCCAAGGGGGAGGCATTGGCCGTTAGTTTGGACATTGCGAAGGCCTTCGATCGGGTTTGGCACAAAGCGCTTCTTTCGAAGCTCCCTTCCTATGGGCTTCCCGAGAAATTGTGCGATTGGATCACCAGTTTTCTTGCAGATCGGAGCATCAAGGTCGTTGTAGACGGTGCAAGCTCCGATTGCAAGCTTATTAATGCTGGTGTTCCACAGGGCTGCGTGCTATCGCCAACGCTGTTTCTTCTGCATATCAATGATATGTTGCAAACCCGTAGCATTCATTGCTATGCAGATGACAGCACTGGTGATGCTCTGTACACCGGCCGAGCCAATATTTCTCGGGAAAACGTCTCTGAGTGCCGGGACAAACTTGTGTCTGAAGTCGAGTCTCTGCTGGACAGAGTCTCGGATTGGGGGCGACTAAATCTAGTCCAGTTTAACCCCCAGAAGACACAAGTTTGTGCGTTAACCGCTAAAAGGAACCCCTTTGTCGTATCCCCTCAGTTTCAAGGCACTCCCCTTGTTGCCTCAGCCTATATCGGAATCCTCGGCGTCGACATATCGAGTGACGTGCAGTTTCGTGGTCACTTGGAAGGGAAGGCCAAATTGGCCTCTAAAAAGCTTGGCGTGCTCAGCAGAGCGGGACAGTATTTCATGCCGGCACACCGCCTGCAACTTTACAAGGCGCAGGTTCGGCCGCTCATGGAATACTGTTCCCATCTCTGGGCTGGGGCTCCCCAGTACCAGCTCCTTCCACTTGACCGCATCCAGCGCAGAGCGGCTCGAATCGTCGACGACCGAGTGCTTTCCGATCGGCTCGATTCACTGGCGCTGCGAAGAGATGTTGCATCTCTTTGCGTATTTTATCGCATCTATCACGGGGAGTGCTCTGAGGAATTGTTCGGATTAATCCCAGCCGCCAAATTTCGTGAACGCACTACACGGCAAACGCCCCGATACCATCCACACCATCTGGATGCTTGGCGGTCCACCACTGTACGTTTCAAAAGGAGTTTTCTTCCGCGTACAACCTCTCTGTGGAATAATTTACCACCGGTGATTTTTCCGGACCGATACGACCTGGGGACCTTCAAGAAAAGAGCTTACTCCTTTCTAAAGGGCCGGCAACGCACCTGCAATTCCCCTGGTGTTGCGGTTGATCATGGGCGGCGGTAGTCACTTAACATCAGGTGAGCCACATGCTCGTTTGCCCCCTCTTCTATAAAAAAAAATAATAATAATCTGTCTAGAGCCATACATTCCTCCAAAACCCACTATACGCAACGCCGTCTTAGGCCATACTTGTGTAATAAAGCCCTTCTATTTTTGACATCCAATTTTGACATATTGTAATATATTCTTTTAATCTTATCTTATGTAATCAATCTGACAATGACATTTTGTTTAATTTATTTGACATGTAATCTATTTGACTTTAATCTATTTGGCATGTATATTTTTGGTATTTATTTGATCTCTTGGACATGTATTCTTTAATTTGTTTGATCTTTTGACATGTATCTTATATTATTACTATTATTTAAAACTGTAATTAGTAAATTAGCATGCTGACGTTTTGGGCATACTGTAAACCAGCATGTACACTGTTTTAAAATATAAATAAATAAATAAATACCTGGGCCCTTAGGCACACAATAATTCGGGACCCTGTTGGAAAGTAATTAGGAGTAAATGAAGAAAACATTTTTCTGTTATGATCTTATATTTATTATAGTCAATTGGTAAAAATAAAATAATATGTCATTAATGAGCGCATCCACGACTTTTTCTGCCACTAGGGCGGCGCCACTTTACAATGAGGTAAAATATTTGACAGATTTCATAGCGAGGACGATAGTTTCTTAGGAAAATGTAAACTTTCCGTATCATTAGTTATATTTTATATTAATTAGATTAGAAATGAATAAGCCAAACTAAATGTAGATAACTAAAATTAGAAGTGCAAAAAATCAAAAATTAAACCACTGATGCATTGTGTTGTGTATTAATATAATACTCTAGGTAATGATTAACTATTATTTAAAACTAATTTCTCAATTAACTGACATTGTGTAACAAACTTTACCTCAGTCACAACTAGCGACATCTGGTGAGTGGAAGGTTATAAGCTCTCATTAGATAAGTTTAATGGTGGTTTAAATTGGTTACCATTACGACAGTGGTTTCTTTCGGGATTCTTCTATTATATCTTCAAAGTCTTTTGCTCTTTTGAAGGATATCACTTTCTATACACATAATTAAAAATTTGTTAGTCGTTCTTGTAAGATAGTTGTTTGTAATTAATTTTTTATTCTCTTAAGATGTGAAAATGAGCGCTCTCCACTACAATTGATAACCATTAAGCAAATGAACATTCTTGTAGCAACTTCAACATTTGGAAAGGTTTCTTCTAATTTATCAAACTTTATTAGTTTATGTAAGGCTTACCTAGATACTCAAATCCGCTGATTCCTTTGCTAAGTATGTTCTTTAAATCTGTACCTGAGAAGCATATAACTGTAACTGCCCTATCGTAAAGTTTATATAATAGAAGATTTCTTTAAAAAAAAGTAACTATCTTTAGGTTTAGGAGGTTATAAAATAAAAACAAATGAAATTAGCAAAACTTTTTTAATTTTTTTAAGTGCTACGTTATAAAACTTTAAAATTGACTAACAATTATG